TACTGGTACTGGCTGGTTGTCATGGTGTTTGATGCCGCCTGGGAACACATCCTTGTACCGCCAGCCATGCTGAAATGGACAGGCGCATTGGCGAGTGGTTGTAAGACCGGTGCACTCATGCCGCTCGAGAATACCGGCGCCGTAGGGATGAAAATTGTCCCAGGATCCGCAGAGGAAACCGGAGGCACTAGAAAGCACTCGTTCAGGCTGGCTGGTGGCACTCCTTCGGACAGGGGAAAAACATTGGTGCGGGATTGGCGTCCTGGTGTTGCTGCTTTGGCCCCCCCCCCCCCCTACGACCTATACCGGTAGGTCGTGACCCATTCATCTTTTGCTGACACCCTGCCTTGTTAAGTTCTCAAGAAGCTCCTCATCTGTGATGGTTTGGTCCTGAAGATACAGCCGCATGTCCGTCCGCACCCCTTTGCTGCGGAACCCTGTCTGCAGTGAGTGAAGGAACATGACCCTTACCTGTTCTGTCTTATACTTTGGGCCCGCAGTCAGTTCCTTGGAAACAAACCGGACTTTCTGCTGCAAGTCCATAGGTCTGGTGAGGAGTTCCTGGGGGCTCTCCTTAACTTCTTGTCGGGCTCTCGAAAGTTGGTAGTACAGGTCAGTAGCGTCGCTCTCTCTATAATGAGATCTTAAGACACGACGGAGGTCCAGGAGACTGAGGGTTGGCTTGCCCTCCTGGTAGCTCTGCAGGAGTAAGGCGGGATCAATGGCACGGATAACTGCTTCTACCACCTCCCTCTCTTTGTAGCCCGTGGCCAGTCCTGCTTCAATCTGCCGGTGCATGAGAGACAGAAATGTGATTTTATCTTACTGTCCCGCATCCCCGATCTGGCCAGAGATCTTGAATTCCCAGCGGAAGACTGGTCCAGTTGTCACATCTGCAGTGTGCATGGAACCACTTGGCTGACTAGAGGCTGGTGTTTCCGCTGGCTGACTGGTTCCAGACGACTCAGAGGAAGGGGTCATCTTCACAACCTGCAGCATTTTCTCTATTACTGACAGGCCCTCATCTTCTTGACCTTCCACCTCATCGCTGCTCAGGTATCTCCGCACTTGCCGACGGAGGGCTGGGATCGTCTTTTCACCACCCTCGATGCCGACCTCCACACACACCTTGAGCAGAGACTCTCAGCAAAAGTTATGCACACATGAGTATGTTGCATAAAACTGGAAGATGGTCTTTATTCATTAGCTGCTCATCAAGGAATGCTTGAGACACAGCCAAGGCGAACAAAGGGGGTGAAGTTACATTTCCTACTGGGTGCCTTAGCCAACTTTATATTTTCCTGGACAAGCTGGAGATGGATGATTTTGTTGTGATTCAGCTCCTGGGCAGTGTACGAGCCATATTTGGCAGAATACCCAGGGCTGTCTGCCCGGCCATCTCCACCAATGATTAATGGCTTGCCGGTCTCATTCAGCATTCTGTGCAGATCATGCACATGCTCAGTCCAGGTCCTCTCCACAGCAGGCAGGAGGTACTTCTGTGGATGGATAAAGAAGGACCTGACTGAGTGTATTACTACACCCTGCTGTTCAGCAGGCGCAGTGCCTCATTGGGACCCTGTCCACCAAACAAAATGGCAGCGGACAGTAGTAGGTTGCCAGCTGGTGTGGCCGCAAGAAATGGCTGTGAACTCCATTCGCTCTGCCTGTTGCATCTCAGACAATCCTGTGTCACTTTCAGATTAGAGCCAAAGAGACGCTTCTGCAGCTCTACCCTTGATGACCTGCACTTCCTGCAGCAGTCGAACAGAATCAACAGTGCATCTTATAAGACGATTTTGGCTGAAAGTGGGGACTGACATCGTCCTCTTTGACATACACCGTTCTTGGGCTTTGTCCTCTTGTGGTAAATCAAAGAGAAAACATTAATGAAAGTTATAAGGCATATATGTGACCGGCTCTGCCAAAAGGTGTATTATGTCACATTTGTTTAAAATTTGAGTTATATATATAATCCAATTGCTCACATCCTAAGCTTTCATTTGATATATAATTCATCCCAGTGGCATTTTGCATTGTGGAGTTATTTGTGAATTAGCATATTCATATAATTTCATTTCATCACACGTGCTTTTTGAGATAATGCCCTTTACACATAACGAACAGAAACATTAAACTTAAATTAGACACTCTCTTGGTTTTCCTTAGCAACAAAGGCTTTCTGGTCAAGCAATTGGCCTCAATTTTTTAGGAGTTTGTGATAAGCCATTGTTGAACACAAATCCATGATTTATGAAATTTTCTTATTTCTTATTCATAACTTTTTTCCTCATTTGCATAATGTTAAAAAATAAAGATTTTTGGTCATTTTCAGAGTATGCTAAAAAAAGGCAAAGTTTGATTAAGGTGAGAAGATGCATAGCTCAAGATGAAGTTGCATTGATACTTTGATTGTTTGAACATGGATATACACTTGAACATGTTCTCATTCAAATGAACCATTTTTGGGGTTAAAATGGTACTTTTTTGTTACTTTTTAGACATTTTCTTTAATTCCGCCAATTTCCTCACGAGTTCAACTAGCTAGTTTCATATAAAAGTCTGAATCATGTTAATTAGCGGCAGTATTATCAAATGGACTCATAAGAAAGTTAATTGCTGTAATTTAGGCACATAGACCCTAATTTGCATAAATGTGCACAATATGAATATTGTGTATTCCAATTGGAATGTGAAAGATATTATGATGTGACACAAGGCATAGGCTTTTATGCCTAATATTATGTTCAAAGAATGTTCCAATGAAAATTATGCCAGCCATTTCTGCCCCTCCCCCCCCCCCACACACACACTTTTTTTTGGCCTAAAATAAAATAACATCACACATGACAGACTCCTTTTTCTTGTAAACAATTATTTTGCAGTTTTATTCTTCACTTTTGCAGCATTATAAGAAAAGCTCACCATGGGTCTGAGCCTTAACCTTTCATATTCAAGGCAGCCTTTCGTCAGCAGAGTATACAATTTCGAAATTTTCTTTTACTGAACAGCGATTTTTGACAGTTAACAGGTTGTTTAATGCAGTTCTGTTTTGCATAAACAAACTCATTATTGTTTAAGCTCACTTTACTGATGGGTTTTGTTTGAAGTACATGGATTTTATTTGGTTTGCTCAGGCATTTTTGGTTAATTTACTTTGCTAGTTGATGATGTTTAAAAGGGACTTTGGATAACGAAACCCTATCAGACTTGTCTGTAAAAATTCTAAGTGTTTTCGCAATAAATGCTTAAATATTGACATTTTAGGACATATTCACGCTTTCTGATGGCTGATAGGTCACTACAGGGAAATGTTAGTGCTGGCCATGTATGGAATTCTTTCCTAACCAATTATCATCATGGCTTTGGCACTGTCGGTAATGGGCACACAATGTCCTTGGTTGCGTCGCTGCAGAAGTCTCGTAGTTTCTCGTAGAGATACCATTGGCGTGCAGCATCCATCCCAGGAGGAAGGTCAGCAGCTGGATGCGTTCCAACAGTCTTCAGCAGCGTGTAGCCTACCTCGGGTCATCAAGGTGCTTTCGAGCATACGTAGTGCCCGGTTCATCAGATGTGAAGCTAGATTTGGTCAAAGAAAACAAAAATCATAAGTCATGCATGTCTGTTGAATTATCAATACAAGTTAACCTTAAAGTCAAGTTGGTTTGTCCATCATTTCAGTTGGGTAAGGTCAGTTGGGTTTCATATTTGCAACTTTTGGGTTGTGCTGTGTCATTATTCTTTGCTATTTAAAAAAAAAAAAAAAAATTATACAAACTGAAATGAACCAAAAAAAGACGAAATTCAAGGGGAGAAAGTTTACGTGATCCAGGTCAGTTGAGGTTTTCCTTAAATTCTTTGTCAAGTCAGGTCAAATCAAGAGGGATTTCGATTGGTTTGTTTCCGTTCAAATTCTGATCAATGAAATAATGTTTCCAATCAGTTTGACATGGTCAACCCAATAGAAGGTAATGCTTACCGGAAGTGTTGCAAGCTCTTGATTCCCCGGAGAGGTTTGAAGAATGGGGTCAGGAACACTTGCCAATCAAACTGGTGGACAAAAGTGTTGCCAGCCTCATCACCGACCAGCTGACGGATGTTCAGCCCTGTCTGTGTACTGTTTGAGACAACTGCAGCAATATCATTCAGGCAGGAGACTGCTGTTCGGCGGAAGCGTTGTTTGAAAGGCCAAAACACCAGTCTGGTGCAAACTGTGTGTGTCCTACTGTGGTGACCTGCCCTACTATCATTCTAGGGTTGGGGTTCGTCCATGTACTAAAACATAGATGACGCTGGAATCTGACACCAATCAATCAAAGGAAGCTGTAATTATAAGGTGGATCTATATAATCTTGGCATAATGAATACTCACTTCCTGAAACTTAAATTCCCCAAAATTGTACAATTTCGTCCCATTAGGATGCCCGGTTTTAATTCACTCCCGAGTTCCTGACATACATGTACATTGTAGGCCTCTTCGCATGCACACATGTCCGGATTTCTCATCGCCCAGTTTACGCGAAAGTATTGCTCATTGAGGGAAAGTCCCTCCGCACGCAATAGCGCGCGGCGTCATAGAGAAAACCCTCTCACGACAAATACACCATACACAATGGCGGTGTCCTATTATATCGGGACTCCCACACTACCACCATGTGAAGCTCGATGGAATGGTGCAGGCCACAGATACATCGCCAGAGTAGATACCAAAGAACAAAGCGGTTCTTGTTCTGCCCACTGCAGTTGTCACAGTGCAGTTGTGCAGTGTGCTCGCCCAAACCGTATGCTTCAAAAAAGTGGTGGAGGTAGCTTATTACCGAATTGCTGCCCTTCGAGATAAGCAGAGCCTCATCAACAAGATAGTTAATCTGCTGCCTCACTCCCTCGCAGTGAACTCCAAAAATACCAAGCTTTCTTGGAGTGAGAAAGTAGATAGGCCCTGGCTGCAAAGGGTCAGCAGGATAGTGCACCTGCTGTGCATAGTCGAACGAGTAGTGCATTGAGTGCACTTGTCCACCGCAGGCCTCGTTCCTCCCTAGATGAAACACTCCCTGCACCTGGGATGATTCTTTTGCGTGTTGTACCAGGTCTCTGTAGAAATTTCATTCCCGGTTGACCTGCTCAAGATGGGCCTGTTGTAGCTGGCAGCGAGCCGCCTTTTCATTATCAGGAAGATTCGCTGACCGGTAGAGGAGGCAATTGTTTTTCTGGCACTGCCAGCATACATCTGTCATTGGTCTGTGGCAGATGATGAAAGGGCAGACCGCATTCAACACCTTCCAGAATGTGGAAATAGCCACAACTCTGTAACCTGTGCAAGGAAAACAAGATGCAAACTATAAAAAAAAATAAAGACGAAGGAATGGGGGGGGGGGGAGGTTGGTCCTTAAAACCCGATATCAAAAAGTTACTGTCAACTGTAATCCATTTTTAAAACAATTTCAAATGCGTTTATAAAAGAGCTTATGCTTTGCTGCCGTCTCCATGGTGTCTCCGAGGCTATTTTTGTTATTTTAATTTTGTTACAATGAGCGCACAAAAGATTTACTCGAGCCTATCTTAGTGACACAAAACACTTATCCTCGTATCTCGTAATTTACCTGATTCTTCAGTGGCAAGTTTGTATCTGCGCCACACATTAGCCTTGGTCTCACTGGATGGAAGTAGCTGCAGATCGTCCCTCTTGAACCCGGGAATGCGACCAGGCAGGAAAACAGCATGGGTCTCTGCATAGTTCGCAATGAAATTCTGGATACGCATCCTATCGTTGAAGTTTAGATGATTGGCAAATGATTTGCCGCTGCTGGCATGGACCCTTGGAAGACATCCCCTTTCCCTGTAAAATACCAAAAGCATGTTCCCGGTCGTTGGGTCCCCCGCGGAACCTTATTAAAATACCAAAAGCATTTTCCCGGTCGTTGGGTCCCCCGCGGAACATTATTAAAAAACCAAAAGCATGTTCCCGGTCGTTGTGTCCCCCGCGGAACCTTATTAAAATACCAAAAGCATGTTCCCGGTCGTTGTGTCCCCCGTGGAACATATTCACCAAATAAAAACCATCATACCATAGCAAATATTGTTCCCGGTCGTGCTGTCCCCCGCGGAACAATTATATAACACAGATCATGTTCCCGGTCATCGTGTTTCCCGCGGAACATAGTCACAAAATAGCATAGAATGTTCCTGGTCGTCGTGTCCCCCGCGGAACAACTAATGCAAATTACAAAATGATTAGAATAATTAAAAGGTCACCTACGGGTGTTCAGTACAATTTTTCCGTCTCAATTCCTCTGGTCATAAATTTCGGAGAAAGAAAATACAATGGGTAAAATTATTATGAGTTTAACCAAGAGTAGGCCTACCCAGCATTAGTGTAAAAGATTCAAAATGACCAAAAACTTATAGCATTGTATCAATGACTTGATTAAAAAGAAACATCGCCTGAGGCCTATGTTGGTGACCAGAATAAAATTCCGCCAAATGGTCAAGCATGTCCGCCGCCACATAGGCCTAGTGAAGAGGTTTTGCATAGGGAATGAGTGGAAGCTGTAGATCTTAAATTCGTAAAATAATTCGGACTGCCACCAATTGATTTGGGGGTGTGGGATTACACCTCCTGGTGCACTAAGAAAAAGGCTAGCAACCATGCGGTTGATAGCCCCCCGGGCACGCTCTACCTTATTTTGCTAAATGAATGCTAAATTGCTTAAACAATGGCAAGTTTTTAAGAAAGCAATTCCTCTAATGCTGTTTTCAATGGACAATATTGGAAATCCACTCGTTTTCAAAAATACAGTTGGTTTACAAGAATGTAAAATGGAGTGGACTAAACAATGGCAAGTTCTTAAGACAGTGATTCCTCTAGAATGCTGTTTCTGATTGACAGTTAAAAAGAGTCCACCCGTTTACAAAAATACAGTTGGCTTAAATAAATGCAAAGCATATGGCAAGTTTTCAAGAGAGCAATTCCTGTAGAATGTTGTTAAACAATTGGAATTCACACAGCGACAACAAAAGTAATGGTGGCTTAAATGAATGTATTAAAATAGACCTGTAAATAGACCTCAAACATAATGACGTCATCTTTTGTCTACATGTGCGCTTTCCAGGCTATGCGAGTTTCTTGGATCTCGTCCCCATTTTACTCCCATAAGCTCTCATAGGAAACGAAGCGTGACATCATTATGTTATAGGTCTATTGGTTACCATAGCACACATTGAGTCTGATCAACAATAGGAATTAACACAACATTTGAAGAATACAATTGGCTTAAGTAAATACAAAATGGCTTAAACAATGGCAAGTTCTCAAGATGGTTAATCAGCTATAACCATGGCAGGATTTCATGCTGGTGATTCCTCTAAAATTTTAAGAAGAATATTTCGGTATTTTAATTTGAGAATACATGTACTGGTTAATATGCGATGCAGCTGTCTGAACATTTGGGAGTATACATTGGTGGAATCTCTGCTTTACCATGGCAACATATTTTTATGGCAACAACAACATTAAAACGAGAACCCTTTTATTCACACCGGTCTATTTCATTAAAGCATAAGGACGGTCCAGTGTACATCTTTAAGGCATTATTTGGCAAAGTTGTTTAAATATAGTTTTACTTTGGCAGTAGGAAAAGTTGCTGTAGAGTTAGTAATCAGCTGCAAATGTGTTCAGTCTTGTCTTACGATAGCTACAGTTGCAACACCCAAGAGCTAACCGCTTCTGTAATATTTTAGCACCAAATACTAAATATTAAATGAACAAACAAAATATAAAATACATTTCTAGAAATACAATAGGTTACAAATATAAAATATGAAGGCAAGGTAAATGTGAATGTATGTAATGTGATCAAAATGCAGCCACACAGAAAACTGGAATGTCTCTGCATAGAAAATGTAGTAGTGCTTGAATCAATAATGCAACAATGAGTCAAGATGTAAAATCTACTTTAAAACATATAAAAAGCTGCTCAATTTGTTTGGCTTCCTGATTGAAATGTAATCTCTGGCAATTGTACTACTGTAACCCGTTTTGTGGTTGTCCAATACATGTATAAAATTGTTATTTAAAAAGTTCCTATAATAAATACCTTAAATTCATAGTAATAGTCATAGTAATTCTGCACCCCTCCCCCCAAAAAATTCAATTAATTTTTCTGGGTTTTGTATGTTGCACAACACAAACAAGTCTGCCTACTTAAAACATTAATGTAAGTTCTGTAGATATAGATCTTCAAAATATGCACTTTTCAATAGGACGTCACATGTCATGTGATGACGTCATTGTGACGTCAATGCAATTTTCATGTATAACACATCCTGGTCTAGGTACATACCTACTTCCAACCCAATAGGACCTATAGTTCTGTAGAAATGGGCCTTCAAAATATGCACTTATATTGTGATGTCACGTGACACCCGATGACGTCATGATGATGTCATTGTTCGGCGCCCATCTCTGGATGGTGGTCTAAGTGAATGCCAGGTTTATAAAGGCAATCAGATTAATTTCAGTGCCCAAAGTGCCAGGAGCATAAAACATGTACAAATGCAATTGGCAAAAATGACTGAAAAAGAAACCAAAAATATCTTAAGAAAACAATGCGTGCGTGATATACATCCGCAAGTCACCATAAATGACGCAGGTAACGCTTGCAACACGGGTGCGTTGTCCAATGCAAATTGAATGCGAGTGCGTCAAATTATATCCTCGTCATTTTAGGGGGTCTGATGATACCGGACCACGCACGCATTTAATTTGTTACTGTGCACGTACATACACATGGTATCCACCATCAATACCCCAAACGTGATGATTCAATTCGAGGATTAATTTGCTGGATTCAACTCAAGCATTAAAGAGATAAACCAGGGTAAATTGAAGCCAATTAATGCAATGAAGCTGATGGCTCCACCAAGGACCAGTTCTATACCAGCTTGCAGCTGTAACAGGAGGCTAGACCCCTCTTGAAAAGCTAGTCATTCTTGGTGACAAAATTGCCTTACCAAGATGCTCAAGGAGTGGATTTCAAACCACACATTTTCATTGTGCTCTATTTGTTGGCAACATTGTGGGGAAAACTAGCTCCTACCCAAAAAAACAAACAATACAACAGACAAAAACTGTGTCTCCTGCACTAGCAAGAAGCTTGGCCCTGATGTACTGATGACAGATCCAGTAGCATTACCTCAGCCTGCAGTCTGTTCTTTTTCTCTTGGTACTGGATGACTGCCATGAAGACCTGAAATATGAGAACACGTATTGTGTTTATTGCTTCTCTATGAAATACCTTCTTAATGAAATATCTTTAGGAATTACCCTCAAAAGTTGTCAAGCATGTTCACTGGATGACACATGAAAAAAAGTGTGCAAAACTGGTCAACAGCCTTGGAATTGACCTATCACCTTTTGTGAGCTAGCCACGCCCCTTAGACAACTCTATGGATTTTTTGCACACTAAGTTTTGTTTGTCTTGGATTTTGCGCGTTCAACGCCCGTTTGTATATCATGTAATTGGCCAATATTTTGCAAGCTGCGTTGATGCCATTCTAATGCGATTCTACTAGGACATGACAATTAACCTTTAAGCCCATTTCAATGAATAACAAAATATTATTTACAATCAATGCATGACATTCTTGCAAACTAGTAATGCATCACACATGCAACACTGATACTGACATTGCACACTGTTTACAGTATAATTATTAAGGGAATCAAAGTGTGTTTGGGAGGTATTATAACACTCTGTTTAAGACCGGTTTGAGTCTGGATGGGCGATAATTACCCGAGGCGAAGCGTTAAAAGGCACCGGATTTCATACCAGTCCAAATTTCATGTGACACTGGAAAAGCGTTTAAGACCAGCTAGCCATGTCTTTATCATCCGTTTAAGACCGGCCACGTGATGGGCTCTAGACCAATAGGAATGCGTAAACTGTCTTACGTATTTATGAATGGATTTTAAACATCAAAATGTGAATTTCTGTTAGCTGGCTGTTAGCTGATGCAGCTGTATGTTGCTACCTCATCCTTTGCTGTGTGACTGTTACTAATGTTGTCTTTATAACCTACCAAATCTGGTGGGAAGAGCAAACTTGGGCTGTGTCTGGATAGCATCAGTTGGTGCTGGTTGATGCCTGCATGATCCTGAAGACACATTCGCCATGACTTCCGCTGTCCACGTCTCAACTGCTCTATAACAGTCTAGAAAATGAATGAATCAGTTACCCTGTTATTTCCAAATAAAAACTCCAAAATCATAGGCAACTACTGCATTTCTTGAAAGAACAATTATGCCACCAAAGACCTGCGAGCTCAGCTGTGACACCTTTGCCCTTAACTGAACTTGGGACATGACCAGACTAATACCTGTACAAAAAAATCCCATCTGTCTGTGGGCATGACCCATCTTACCATCTACTAAATTTACAATGTTGTGGTATTTTAAGTGCTTCCCAAAAGCTGTGATTAATACCTGAAAATACTTAGGACTACAAATATCAGCTACGGGTACATGTATTGTCCATTGGGGTCATTCCAAGTGGAAATTGGCAAGCATAACTATATACACATATAGTTTACATATAACTGTACAAATCTCTGGACAATATTTAAACATTCCTCATCACTTGGCTTTTTGATACAATGTATTAACACCTAACAAATTGCTTTACATGGCTGGCAGACTTGACGCTGATGGCGGCATAATATTCAAAGCCTGAGGAGCTGCACTTGCCGGGTACTGGTACTGGCTGGTTGTCATGGTGTTTGATGCCGCCTGGGAACTCATCCTCGTACCGCCAGCCATGCTGAAATGGGCAGGCGCATTGGCGAGTGGTTGTAAGACCGGTGCACTCATGCTGCTCGAGAATACCGGCGCCGTAGGGATGAAAATTGTCCCAGGATCCGCAGAAGAAACCGGAGGCACTAGAAAGCACTCGTTCAGGCTGGTTGTTCGGTCAGGGGGAAAACATTGGTGCGGGATCGGTGTCCTGGTGCTGCTGCCTTGGCCCCCCGGCAACACGCCGCCTGCCCCACGGTAGCTTCTGCCCTCTTGTTGGTCTGCTTACTGGCAGCAGAGCGTACGGTGGTCTCCTTAAAGCGAGCCGGCCGTCGGCGAGTGCGGTGCAGATCTGCGCGATTCATATCTTCAGACAATACATGGGTTGTTGATTAAATCCAAAGAAATCGTTGAACCCACGGTTGGGCGATTAATTCCAAAGAAAGAATATTTCAATTCCGATGAAGAAAAACTCAAATTAACCAAACAACAGATTGCAAACTCCAAATAACCAAACAACAGATTGTTTTTGACGGAATACAAAAATTTTGCAAGGAAACTTCCTCTGAGTACTGTCTTGGTGACTGGCTGTGACCAAGTGACCATGTGCTTGCCTCAAGCATGCTTAAGTGACCAGAGGCCCCACGTACCAAGATTGGCTATAAAATAGATTTATGATGATGATGATGTGATGGCATTCCTGTGCCCCCTGGATGCCTGGTCAGCCCCCCCCCCCCCCCCCAATAACCAGACATGCTGTCTCTGATGATGTCTATGAAGATATACTGGAGCGCCTGTTTTGCTTTTCTTTTTTGTTTACTTTGCTTCAACTCTCCCCTAGCATCTTCTTCTGCCAGCGCATCAGCATCAGCGTCTATGGAGTTAATGTAAAAAATATTGTCATTAACTGCGTTTATTTCAAATGGCTGCGCACCCAACTCCTTTACAACCTAGATCTAACACTTGTGTTCAAACAACACCATTTCCATACAACTAGGGCAGTATTTTTTTGTACAGGAGTGTTTACTGCGCCTTGCATTGATGGCTGCACTGTAATACGTATGTAGTGGTCAGATGCCCCACACCTGAAGCAGTGTTGGCACTGATCGCCAACACCTTGGGCCTGACATCCCTGGCAACCCCACTTCCCTGGTGGGCCCTTGGGACGGCTTTCTCCTTGCTCAGCTCATGGTTGCCACCTGTCCAAATAGCTGTGACCAGGACAGCAACCTGTAGTTTCAGCTCTTTCACGTCTTCTACTAGGGTGTTGGGCTTGGGGGTTTTGGTTGGTTCAGGGTCGATTGGGTCGCGAGAAACGCTGTTTACTGCTACTCGTGACCCATTCATCTTTTGCTGACACTCTGCCTTGTTAAGCTTCTCAAGTAGCTCCTCATCTGTGATGGTTTGGTCCTGGAGATACAGCCGCATGTACGTCCGCACCCCTTTGCTGCGGAACCCTGTCTGCAGTGAGTGAAGGAACATGGCCCTCACCTGTTCTGTCTTATACTTTGGGCCCGCAGTCAGTTCCTTGGAAACAAACCGGACTTTCTGCTGCAAGTCCATAGGTCTGATGAGGAATTCCTGGGGGCTCTCCTTAACTTCTTGTCGGGCTCTCGAAAGCTCTGGTAGTACAGGTCAGTAGCATCGCTCTCTCTATAATGAGATCTTAAGACACGACGGATGTCCAGGAGACTGAGGGTTGGCTTGCCCTCCAGTTAGCTCTGCAAGTTTGAGGTGGAATTATTGCTTGTACCACCTCCCTCTCTTTGTAGCCCTTAGCCAGTTCTGCTTCAATCTGTTGCATGAGAGACAGAAATGCGATTTTATCTTTCTGTCCCGCATCTCTGATCTGACCAGAGATCTTGAATTCCCGGCGGAAGACTGGTCCAGTTGTCGCATCTACAGGGGGCATGGAAACACTTGGCTGACTAGAGGCTGGTGTTTCCACTGGCTGACTGGTTCCAGACGAATCAGGGGAGGGGTCGTCTTCAGCACCTGCAGCATTTTCTCTATTACTGACAGGCCCTCATCTTCTTGACCTTCCACCTCATCACTGCTCAGGTATCTCTGCTCAGGCATCTCCGCACGAAGGGCTGGGATCGTCTTTTCATCTCCCTCGATGCCAACCTCCGCACACACCTTGAGCAGAGACTCTCTGGTCGCAGACTGTAGCTGGGAATGCACCTCACCGTGAAGATCGTCAAGTGAAGCCATCTCAACAGGAAAGTGACAACTGGTTACAGGGGATCGTCTCGGCTGTTATCAGGGATGTAAACCTTGTCACATGCTCTGGTCGCAGAACAGGTGCATGTCATCTAGCGGGTCAGGTTGACATGACTACCAGACGCACCTGTCCTGGCAAGATCGCCAAATGTAGGCCAACCCCCAAGGGGTTGGTTGAAAATCTTGAAAAATGAGCAAAAGTTATGTGCACATGAGTATGTTGCATAAAACTGGAAGATGGTCTTTATTCATTAGCTGCTCATCAAGGAATGCTTGAAACACAGCCAAGGCAAACAAAGGGGGTGAAGTTGCATTTCCTACTGGGTGCCTTAGCCAATCAGAAGGAAGTGACCATGGCAACTGGGTCACTGCCCAGCTGACCAGCTGTACATGCTAATAGTGAGCATGTAGGACTAGCCACATGTGCATGGGGAAAGCACATGAGGCGAGCACAAGGGGAAAGACTATTTTTTTTAGGGGGGGTAATTTCCTTCTGCTCTCTGGGAGGGGCACTACACTTATACCTGTAAAAGGACTGGCATACCGTCTTTTTTCCAGTCACCCTTTCCTTATGCTTATTGAAACACTCAACACTCTTGAAATTATGGTTACAATCACTACAGTGCAGTGAGTTATAATCCCAGTGAGTTTGCATCCCAGAGAATAGGACAATTTACACAAAATATTACACACGTGATTGACTCGCCCTGGCCCCGTTATAACCCTTCTGGCACTCATGGCAGAAATTGCTCCGGTTCAGAAAACCAGGCATTGATTGGATGATATCATAATGCCCCCATGCCAAATGGAGGTATATAGTCCGCGGTTTGTCCGGACCTTGGAAGATACACACATAACACTGTTCCCTGAAAGCGCTATTACACGATAATTGTGGTGTTTGGAGGCTGGTCGGTAGTACTGGGGGGTTTGGGGATAGCAATGCACAGCTTGGTCTTCACTGGAGGAGGTTTTGGAGCAGCTGTACATGGTGGGCCAAGAGTCGTTGTAGCGGGTTGGGTTGACTGTGGTGGATGAGCGTTTTTCTTTTCTTTTTTCCTGGGATGAGGTGTTCGGATCAGTTGTTTCAGCTCACGTGGAATACGGGGTTGAGGGTTACCGGAAGGGTCTCGAGGTTTTGACCGTTTCTCTAATTGGTCCTGGATAAGTTGGCTGAAGTGCTCATTTCCTCCCCAGTTTAGATGTAAACCATCCTTGGCAAGATGCAATTCAGGGAACTCTTCACTGAAGTCCAAAAATTTGCAGTTTGAAAACCGCTGACAAATACTGGCAAGTTTAATGTTGTGTATAACAGGAGATGGATTAAGTTGATTGTTATCAGACTGTGGTAAAATTCTAGTAACGAGGATCTCAGACATGGGAAAGTTCTCCCTCACAGTGGCGAATGTAAAAGTGACCGATTCTCCTGAAAAAAGTTTGCAGAGTAGGGCTGGATCGCAATCGTCAGCTTTAGTGAGTCTGTTGACGGATACCTCTGGGCAGACAATAAAGCCAATTTGGTTGTCGATGAGTTTTCTTCCCAGACCTGCGGGAGTACATTTGTTGAGCATTGGATTTGGCAAATCCTTCTGACTGAAGAGTTCCAGCAGAGGGCTTGTGGCGATGGATCTGATAGCTTGGGTTTTCCCAGTTGATGGAGGTCCGACGAATATGGTGAAAAAAATTTTCTGGAGTATGTGAATGATTGGACGACAAAAGAACCTCCTCATGTTTAAATTCTTCGAAACTGTTATCAGGTTTTTCTTTTGAGCTGCATTCTTTTTCTGCTTTTTCCTGACTCCAAACAGTAGGCATATCGTTTGTGCTAGTTGTCTCAGCTTTTTCACTTCACGTTATTTTGCAATGTTCATCTTTAAGTGATGGGTCTGAAGTGTCGGAAAACGATTTTCTTGTTCGTGTTTTGAAATGCCTTTATCTGTTTCTTCTGAAATATTTGTCGTGTTTTCGATATTCCACTGTGTCACAATATTTTGTTTTTGGTTCAGTATCAACAGATGAAGATTGAGTTTCATCAGCGCTACCATTCTGAGCCTTACTGTTCATTTGTCCCCTCAGTGCTCGAGTGCTTGTTTTGCATATGGTTGACAATGGAACGCCACTTCACCTCTCATGGTCCTCTTCTTTATTGGTGGTTGATTGAGGCACACCAGTATAAGTGATTGTTGATGCTTCTCTTCCAGTCCCCCACTTCTTCGAGACCCTTCTTCTTTGCGAGCTTGTCAACCTTCTTTTTGAGACCTGAATATCAAATACCGCACAAAGAGTGGTGAATTAAAACACAAGCTTCAACATGGACCACTTTCATGAACTCCAACCTTGCGCAAGCAGCAAGATGCAGGAGGTAACACATTCTGTGGGATTCTGTTGCATTGAACAATAGAACAATAGACAAAGAACTGCACTTTGCTATTCAAGTTTGATGTTGTAGTGTTTTTAAACTTATGATATTGTTGGATGCCAGTCAGCTGAGCTGTTTCCAGACGAAATGCCAAAGTGACATGGTTAGGGATCTTTGACAACATGCCTCACCTCGAACATATGTAGTACATCTAGTTCCTGCTCTCGGACATATTTGGCGAGCTGGCGGTGACGGTCTGTGACGACCTTCTCAACTGTTAGGCCAGCTACTCTCAAGGATGACATCATTCTTTTAAAACCCTCCAACTCCATGTGTCCCGAATTCTTCACTTCATTGTTCTGTTCACAAGAAAGCAAAAAAAAACAACAAAAAACAAGAAACAATGATGCAATGTTTAGCTTTTCGGGTGGGTAAGAAACTAAGTTGGTGGGCCAAAATTAAATGCAAAATCAAAAGAACTTCCCAGAACAGAAGGGACTAAAATATAAGCACAAAGAAATGTAAAAGTATGCACACAAAAGACCAGGGAACACCTGCAACAAACTGATATAACGAAGGAAATCCAGCAATACTAGTGTTAGAGCCACCTGGAATTGTTTTTACACGAGGGAGATAAAAATGCAAACACACGGTCACAAGATCAGAATTAACGGCTGGACAAGGTCTACAGCACGATGCCTATCTGCAGGCACTCACCCTCGCATGCTCTCGTTTTTGGTAGGCTCCTCGGTGCTTGATTTCCTCTGATTGTGCCTCATCCACATTTGATGGTTCTTTTTTTGATGGAACAGCACTTGGTTTAAGCTTAAAAACGGACAGTAAACCCATCCTTTGCTTCATAGCAGAAGTGTCATCTTCCGAGTTGTCCGGAAAATGGGCACTGCAAACGTGCGACCATTTCGTCAGAGTAAAATCCGACCGGGTTGTTTCCACGAAACGAACCCACTCACGGCAGACTCTCTTGTCCGATGGAAATCTAAAAAACCTTAGATCCGGGTTATTACTTGTAGTTCGAGTGCAACCACTGACGACACAATTTCGAGGCATCTTAAATAAACGCAATCAATTTCTTCGATCGTACATATCTATCGTATCTACACGTAGTAAGTACATGTGCATTGTTGTGTACGTGTCGCGATGGTCCCGATGTCCAGCTAGCTCGCTGCTGAGTACACGTCATGACGTCATGTCTAGCGCGCACCGCGGTGCACCCTCGACGGCAGCATGAGGGAGAAGTTGGGAGTAAGCGCGAAATTATGAATATTTAATAAGCATACTTTTCATGTCAATTACATAATATTTATGCATGGAAAATAAAAATAATTAGCATGGTTTTGTCTCTCGTGCTCTATAATCAATTTAATAATATTTTTCAGAGAATTTAACCTTCATTTGTGTCGGTCTTTAAACTTGATATTTTCCTGGGCAAGCTGGAGATGGATGATTTTGTTGTGATTCAGCTTCTGGGCAGTGTAGGAGCCATATTTGGCAGAATACCCAGGGCTGTCTGCCCGGCCATCTCCTCCAATGATTAATGGCGTCCCGGTCTCATTCAGCATTCTGTGCAGATCATGCACATGCTCATCCCAGGTCCTCTCCACAGCAGGCAGGAGGTACTTCTCTGGATGGATAAAGAAGGACCTGACTGAGTGTGTTGTTACACCCATGCTGTTCAGCAGGCACAGCACCTCATTGGGACCCTGCCCACCAAACAAAATGGCAGCGGACAGCAGTAGATTGCCAGCTGGTGTGGCCGCAAGAAATGGCTGTGAACTCCATTCGCTCTGCCTGTTGCATCTCAGACAATCCTGTGTCACTTTCAGATTAGAGCCAAAGAGACGCTTCTGCAGCTCTACCCTTGACGACCTGCACTTCCTGCAGCTGTCGAACAGCATTATCAGTGCATCTTCGAAGACAATTTTGGTTGAAGGTGGGGACTGATATCGTCGTCTTTGACATACACCGTTCTTGGGCTTTGTCCTCTTCTGGTAAATCAAAGAGAAAACATTAATGAAAGTTATAAGGCATATATTGCCAAGAAATAATTCGAAGTTATGCTAACAATCTTGTTAAAACAATAATCATTTGCAAATTAGAATGTGTAGGCATGTGAAAGGGGACATATCTTTGACAGTGTTGAGAAAAAACCTTCAAAATCGGACAATGCAATTTTGCATGTATTTTTGATTCCTAATGCCAAAGCATCACATTTTCTGTGTATTCACAGAGCCAAAGTTTTATGGAGAACCCACATGCAAAACACAGTGATGAGTAGTGAACAGATACATATTTATCCCTTTAAAGCTACATCACGCTAGTACCCCACAACACACGCACACGTATTATTTGTCAATGGATGGCAAATGCTAGATGAAATCTTTATTAAACAATATGGGCCTTTATTTCTTCTAGCGAAGGGCAGATTGAGGGTAATAACTTATGGGGAAACATACAGGTAGCCTCCCAGTATTTCATCTTCAGGTCTGCTTCTAGTAGTTAGCTACATAAAAACCATGTTCGTTTGCAAACAAGACATCCGTTTGCACACAAGCTAAACTCCTATTCTATGTCACCTCCATTACGTAACTCCGAGACCATATGAGATAGCGCCCGCCGCCCAGCAGATCATTCTTTAGCGCAAAGTTGAGTTTACCTGTGAAGAAAACAAGGGAATGGGGTTGGATACCAATTAGGGAGGGCATATGATCTCTTTCGATACGTAATTACGGTTCCGTAGAATCTCAATCAAACATCGTAATTATACTTGTTTAATTTTAGGATTAATCAGCTACCCATATACAGTTGTTTTCCCATTGAATATCCATCATAGTTTGTACATCTCACACTACATGTCATGATATTACCTTCTCTTCATCTGGCTTTGTGTTAGGTTTCCTAAAGAGTCGGATGAAGATGACGATGGTAGATACTCGGGGGAATCATCTCCAGGAAAATCATCACCTTCTGACTCATTGAGATCTTGAATTGCTTCCTTTTGTACTTTTTTGTAGTAAATCAAGGGCCTCCTCGTGCATCACCTCTTCTTCATCATCTAGTATCTTGCAGAGGCCTTCGATAAATGTCATCTCTATTGTTGACTTCCTTTCTGCATCTGTCGTTATGGTTGAACAAAGATTACCACAAATTATTACTTCTCACACAAGGAATTATCAAAAATATACAGAAATACACAGTACCTTGTTTGCTGACACTCCAATTCTACTCTTGACTACATGCAGACAACAATATACATTCAACACAAGAAAAAAATTGCCTCCCCCCCCCTAAAAAAATAACCCTACCCACCCACCTAAGTATATACACCAGAGTAAACAGGTTGAAAAGTAACATGATGTGTCTTAAATAGCCTCAACAATGCAAGTATATACACCAGAGTAAACAGGTTAAAAAGTAACACGATGTGTCTTAAATAGCCTCAACAATGCAAGTATATACACCAGAGTAAACAGGTTAAAAAGTTATATGATGTGTCATAAATAGCCTCAACAATGCAAATATATACACCAGAGTAAACAGGTTGAAAAGTAACGTGATGTGTCTTAAATAGCCTCAACAATGCAAGTATATACACCAGAGTAAACAGGTTAAAAAGTTATGATGTGTCATAAATAGCCTCAACAATACAAATATATACACCAGAGTAAACAGGTTGAAAAGTAATATGATTTGTCTTAAATAGCCTCAACAATGCAAGTATATACACCAGAGTAAACAGGTTAAAAAGTTATATGATGTGTCTTAAATAGCCTAAACAAATGCAACAATTCATTGTGAACAGAAGTCCAGAGTTGCTTTGTCTGCGTCTTAGAACAAGCGAAGTTGACTGTTGGCCATGTCAGGTTTCTTCAACCCTTACCACTTGATTTTTGGACCATAGCAGCAGCTGATACTTCCCGATAACCTTTGTACCACACCTTTCGCTCGTACCAGCCAGCTCATCTAGCCTCGGTGTTCTTGTGGTTGGTTGACCGAAAGAAGACAAATGTTTTACTTTATCATTACATGTTTTCATTGGCTTGTTGGTTAATGTTGTTTATTGATCCATGCAGTTTGAGCGATTCAGGAACATGGTTCATGAATGTGTGCATATAGGGTGTGACATCTTTAGCATGGAAAGTTTGCGCATGATTTGACACCCTAGCCCCAGCACAAGTCTTAACTGCTTCTGGATCTGCCTTTTCAGATTTCATGATTATGATGATAGTCATTATATCACAGCATTGTTTTCATACCCACTTTATATAATGTGTTTTGGAATGCCAAGAAATGAGATTGTCAAGATATGATGTATTTTCGGACCTTGATGTGCTCAGTGAAATCTTGATACTGAATTTGAGCAGATTCCTTAGAGGTATAAAATGACGATGGTATAGAAAGGGCCCTCACAATCTCTTCAAATGCAGCTATGTTTTCACACTTGGACAGGTCTGCATTAACACACACACAAAATTCCGTACATTGTCTCTATGTCTCATAATCTGAATGAGCAACGGTACAACACTAAGTTGTCTTAAATTCTTTAAAAAAGTTGTAATGGATCTGCACTAACATTGTGCACAGGGATGAATTGAGGAATGGGTGGTCCAACACAACTTTTTGGTTTTTGATAGTGTTCTAAGCATGGTAATTTCTTCCACATTACTTGTGCCTAATTCAACATCAAGCACTGACCATTTTCGCATATGAAAGTAGAGTTCGTTACTGGGGCACTTGCAACACAAACAACTGTACTTACTACTACATGTACATGCCCCTAACCACATCGTCTCATCCAAAGAGTTCATGTCAGCACCCAAATAGAATTTCAGTGGAATAGACTCCTTACTGATAGGAAACATTGTCTGGCAAATTAACGACAATGGGTTCAAAAATTGTACATGCAAATTTGTGGTTTCTGGTTTTTGAACCAAGCCCAAAGTACATGTATACTTGCTGCTAAAGTGCTTCTCATATATCACACTAAAGATAATACTCACACAGTGTATCCGCTTACTAATTCATGCACCAATTTTGCCAATGTGGTTTGGCAGAGCTTCATCAGGGTACATCATACTCATTTGGTCAACTACAAATTGTAGTTGTCGATTGTGTCGATTTTAGTGGTTGGTGAGGAGGCCTTACAAACAACCATGCGGTTGCCCTCCATGGCCAGCGTAAGCTCCCCACCGTCTTCTGCCTTTGTAAAAGTGGCCGCCGCAGATACGGTGTCGGAACAAAGTAATGCAAAATTAACATAGGAACTGTTCCAAATTTGTTCTTTTATGGGCAGGGGAACTTGGTATCCCAGTGGGGTGTAGACACTGGGAAAGATGGGTGGGGCGTCCGCTTGGTGATCGGCGGTACCAACCCCACCCGTCATATCCACCGTGGACTCACCCCTACCCGGTGCGACTGTCTGCTGCCAAGCGGCATCCTCCGGCACGTTCTTGGTAGTGCTTTGGGCCCCATCCACCGGCATGGCTCCCGCTGGTTGTTCGAGGGCTCGCGCTGGCTGTTTTGGCGGCGGGAGGACCCCATCGCCGTCTCGCGATCTTGCTGGAGGCTGCGCTCGACGTTTTGGGCGTGGCATTCTCCTTCTCCGCGATCGTCTTTGGAATCACGATGCTACGAAAGGCCACTCCTGGTCGGGTTCCTCTTCGGGGATGCCCACAGACGAGCTATTAATATAGATGGTTTTGGCCCACAACCGCTTCGGTCGAACAGCCGCGGCTCAATTTTTCCAGGAGGAATTTCAATCGTTGTTGAGACAACCAAGGGTTCAGAAAACAAAGTTATATCGAACCTAAAGCTGTGCGTCCTTTATAGGATATATCCTGAGCACCAAATGAAATATGACTTTCCAGTAGCGGCAACAAACACAATTTTGAAGACGCATTAAATTATTCCAGTGTTTGTCCGTTGGAGGCTGAAACAAAAGTGACTGCATGCTCAGTTTGCCTCCAAAATTGCGCAACATGGCTTGGTTTGCCGCCAAATGTGCCTTGCCGCCCATTTCTCATTGGCTGAAAATCACCTCATCCTGAATGGAATGCTGCAAACTTTTCTTGCTTGCCAATTGGCTAGAAATCCCGTGCTCAATTGGTTTATTCTAGCCGTTAGGTATCGTGTATCCCAGCTGTGTGTATGGGCTTGTTGCACAAATATTGCCATGCAGAGGGACTGCTCGACTATCAGACATCAAAACAGACCCAGTTGAATCGATATTCCTGCTTATAAACATTTTGATCATTTAAGTGATAAAATTTATTGTAGTTGTTGAATAAGAGGCTGTCATGCACCAGTCATTCCATTATGGCATCTATCTCTTTCGCTCAGTTTTTAATGGTTTTACACTTCAAAGTTTATTCAAGCTTTTTGAAAGTTTTCTGTAACTGTGGTAAGATAGTTTTAGATGCAGGACCTTGTTGATTGAGAGTTGCATATATCTACTTAACTGCCAAACTTATCCAATACACACAGAGTTGTCACCTTCAAACCAAATTTCTATCAGGTTTTAGCCATCTTCTAGGCATCATTTTTAGGGCCACCAGAAGCAAAAGTTGTATGTACTTATCCGACTCCGGTTCATTGGTCCGTTCACCCAAATAATCCTGATTTGGTTCCCAATCACCCTCTGTACAAATGTAAATGACACTATCTGTATCATAGTACAGCACCGTACGATCTAGCCCGTCTAATAGTTTGTATTGTGAGCCGTGGTATATGCCGCAATGATGACGTTGGTTCATCCAGACGGTTCAATGAAGTCTTCCTTGTGCTGCCAATGAACCTCTACCGTCTCCTTGTTCATAAAGTTGGCGCTGTTAACCTCAATGCTGTCACTCGTCATCATATCAAAGTACTCGGATGGACCGGTCACATGGGTGGTCTTCACCATGTTGGTCCCTTATGAAAATTTGCAGCAGAAGCTGAGACAAATGGATAAACAAAAGGAAAATTATCAGCACATGTACTAGTTAAGAACAAAAAGGAAGTCAACACT